GGGAGAGCGTGGGAGCGCGCGGCCGCCTGTCCGCCGCGGCCCTGCACGCGCGCACTTCGGGAAGCGGTTTTCGGAGCTCCGAAGGGCTTTCGGGGCGTCCCACGGTGTGACTGACTCTTCAGGTGTTTGCACTGAGTCTTCGCGTCTCTTTCATGGCCCAATGTTATTACAGCGTGCTTTCCCTGTACGCTGCTTCAGAGCCTTTCCAGAAATTGAGTACGTATTCATGAGACTGTGACTTACTGTAACCACACCAGTGTTTCCATATAGTACTCGAAAGCCTTGTCTTTTTCTCTTTGCTGTGTTTTCCCTAGATTCTAAATGGAAAACTTCTTAGTAATTTGTAGAAATTGCCAAAATGTCAGAAAGGACCTAAATTAAGCAGTTTTTCAGTCATTCTGCAGTGCAAGAGTTATATAAACATAATTTACGTGTTTAGTAAGAGAAAAAAATGTGGGACTATGGCTAAGGCTGCCTCCCTTTCCCACATGCCGGAAACGGAAGTGGTCCTGGCACAAAGCAAACTGAGCCTAAGGTAGTTATACAGCATCTCCAGAACGTCAGGAGTGAATTGACCAAGGCAAACTGTTAAAATCAAGTTATACAAAGCAAACATCAAACAAAAAGAAGGCAGAAGGCTTTATTTTCAGCTTAAAGACTTGCTAACTCTAGAGTTGTCACTATCTTTAAATTGAGCACCTGCCACATGCATAACCTTGTAATAGCTGCTGAGAAGAGAGTGGAAGGAGGCTGTAAAAGAAGCTAAGCTGGAGAAGACTGTGTATCTTGCTGAGGACTTAGGTTGAAGGGGTGAAGGCTGAAATAGTCTTCTAACCTAGTTGGGGGACTGATAATAAGGGTAAACATTTGTGCAGTGCATTGCCATATGGTTTTAACATATATGTTTTCTTATAATCTTCACAACAACCCTGTGAAACTACGAGGGGAAAATGACATAAAAGTAAGATGTAATAGTTTACGAAATGCTTACCCACTTTGAAAACACGCTATGAGCCAGGCATGTGCTAATCACTTTAATGCATTATCTCATTTCTCACAGCAACACTTGGATTGAGGTGCTATTATTTCCCTCAATTTTACGGATGAATTAACTGAAGCTGGAAGGTTTGATCTGACATCGCCATTTAATCTTACTGGAATTCAGTACCTTTCAAACAGTGGAAGAACAATCTAAGGTAATTTAGCAAAATGACTGGTGTAAGCACTAATAGCTCTTGGAGTTAAGACAATGGGGAGAGCTATACAGGTTAAAGCATTCAGTCATTCAACTACATTTATTGAGTAACTCATATAAACAGTATGTACTCTAGCTATGGGTTCACATCACATATAAAAAATTGCGTACAAATAAAGAATTACAAAACAACGAGAATTATGTTTGGGATATTTAGATTCAAGGTAATCTGAGGTAAAGCAGTTCACCTGAGAGAGGTCAGTGAGGTTTCACAGAGAAGGAAATGTTTGAAATAGTTCTTGAAAGACACGTAAGAGTTTGTCAGGCTGAGAAAAGGGCAAGTCATATCTGGCAGAGGGAAGACCGTATGCAAAAATACAAAGAGCTGAAAATACACGGCAAAACCAAGAATCAGAGAGAGACTCACTGTTCGGAGGTCAAATACATACAGTAGTTTGTAGACAAAAGACTGCAAAGAGAAATTGGGACCATGCTGTTTGCAAGAGGTTAAGACTGCACATTAACCTCCAGGAAATGGGAAAATGGTGAAAATTTTTTAGAATGACAACCTGCAATGTGAAGGAGAGATGTGAGCCAGAGAAAATGTAGGACCAGAGCTTTACTTCAGTGGTATTTTAGATTTGGATAAACCAAAAAGGAATATAGAGCATGAGTAGAAGCTTAGAGTCCTGGACAATGAGACCAGCCAGGTGAGAGTGGCTTAATTTTTGGAGAGTAGGAGAAGGGATTGTCAGAGGAAAAGATTGGCGTGAAGAATAGAGCGGGAAATCTTGAGTAGCTGGATGAAGAAGTTGGACTTCACCTTACAGGCAAATTGGCTGACCACCAGACATTTTGACCATTTTTTAGGCAGTGACATGAACTTTGAATTGACTAAAGAAGACAGGAAGCACCAAGTTCTAGCTAAGTGGCAGTAAAAATAGTCTCTGCTCAAAACAGTGAATCTGTTAATGACAGTGAATGAGAAAAAATAGACCTTAGCAATGTATGAAAGATGAACCAGAGTTACTTAGTTTTAAGAGAGAGTCATCACAACCTCTGTGTAACTTCTCTCAAATTCACACTAAAATAACTATATGTATATGTGTGTGTGTGTGTGTGTGTGTATTTTTTAATCACACTAACAAAAACTAGTATTGACTGTAAAGCCTTTTCCAGGGTCTGGAAGGAATATTTTTTTTACTTACCATATTAATGTAACTGGATGGCAATTAATAATCCGTCCATGCTATTTCCAAATAGAAGAAGGTAGGTGCTTTATCCCTTCTTAGTGTCCACCCTACTGAGAAATCACAGGTCCATACCAGTGGTTCCCAGACTTCAGTGCGTATCCTGATCACCTGGAGAACTTGTTAAATTGTAGTTTCTAGGCTGAGATACTGAGATTCTGACTCAAGCAGTCTGAAAGGGCCCAAGAATATGCGTTTTTAAAAATACCTGTAGGAGATCAACTACATGCCACACATTTTAGTCATAAAGCTAGACATCCGTTTTCTCTAATGTTCTGTTTTGCTGTCAGGGCTGCCCACCTCTTCGTCCTCTTCTGCATTTCTCATAAAAACAATTTGGGAGTATTCTCCCCTCATCCATAAGCAACCAAAATAAAAAAATAATAATAAAACTGATCATGGAATTGGAAAAAAGAGGAAGAAGAGAACAGATGAGGGCCCCTTTACATCATTAAATGTTTTTTGACGAGGACACAGGCAGAAAAGCAGCTCTGAGAAGACTTGGAACTGTAGTGTTTCTTGAATTCCTTCTGTCCGGAGTATGGGAAAGTCATGTGTGTGGTGGAATATGAAAATATTCCATCTATTATAGGGATTCATCCCAGAGGAACCACAAGAGCCAAAGCCTGCTAGATCTTAAGATTTGTGAAGGGAAACACAGAGGTGTATAGTAAAGAGGGCCAAAGGCAGTCTGACCAGTCTGTCTGCCAGCAAACACCAGGTCAGAACAGATCATTCTATAATCAAGAACAAGTGAAAAGGAGAGAAATGGAAATACTTTGGAACAAAGAAAATAAAATAACATCCTGTCAATTCAGAAGATATGTAAAGCAACGAACATTTTTTTTTTTTTATACAGCAATCAGGGAGAAAATGCTGCTTGCTGTGCTTAAAAAGGATAGAACAGATAGTCCTTATGACATAAGAAAAGTCAGGACCATGACAA